TATTGCCATTCCTAAAAATGTGTCCGAGGCATTGACAAAAAAGGAATGGAGAGACGCTATGAAAGAGAAAATGAGTGCTTTAGAAAAGAATAAAATATGAGAGATCGTTGACAAACCAAAGGAAAAAAAATATTGTTGATTGCAAGTGGATTTTTACATTAAAGTACAAGGCTGATGGATCCCTTGAAAGATATAAGGCAATGTTAGTAGCCAAAGGGTACACTCAGACTTATGAGGTGGATTATCAGGAAACCTTTGCCCCAGTTGCAAAAATGAACACTGTGAGAATCCTGTTATAATTGGCTGCTCACTTCAATCGGCAACTGGTACAGTATGATGTAAAGAATGCTTTCCTTCATGGTGACCTAAATGAGGAAATCTACATGAACATCCCTCCGGGAGTTGAAGGGGACACATGTAATAAGGTGTGCAAGCTGAAAAAAGCCATTTATGGGTTAAAACAATCTCCTAGAGCATGGTTTGGCAGATTTGCAAAAGTCATGAAGGAATCTAGGTATAATCAAAGCCAAGGTGACCACACTCTTTATCTTGCAAAATTTCTAACATACAGCGTTATAGCTTTTAGGGTGACTTCTCTTCCAAGCATTATATTTGCCTTAATGTCGTAGAAATGGAATGAAGGTAACATTTTCATAATGTTCCATTAGGAATATCTTATCCACTGATAATCCTCTAAATTTGTGATTTTCACTGGGGCCATCTTCATCTTACACGTGGACTAACTACAAGGCAATGTAATTAATGATAAAGCATAAGCAATCTTGGCTCTCAGAAGTCATCTCAGTCTAAACTTCTCCTGAAGACTCTCTAGAGCAGCTTTGTGAATCCTCTCGAGAACTTTTTTCTTAATTCTTCTCTAAAATTTTTGAATCCCTTTCAAACTCGATAGCAAAACTCATAATTCAAGCATTGATCTCTGCAGCATTAATTACTATTTTCACCGATCTCATTAAGCAAATAGATTCTACAATGACGCATTCAAAATTTTGCCACTTTTACCTACAATGTGACATATAAATTGCACGTTACAGAGAAAATTGGCTTTCCAATGTTCTGCAATACTTCAGTCAGATCGCCCATTTAATTCATGCAAAAAATATTCATTTTATTCGTGTTGTTCTACTTGAACAATCACAATGAAATGGCTAACATTAAGATGTGAAACACAACCACGTCAAAATATAAATACCACGGCTTAATGTCCTCGTGAGCTTGGGCCGTGTGCTGTCCTTAGGATTAGTTACACCTAAAAAATGGATCACGGAAGATGAACATTGATAGCAGTGCTGTCATGGATTACCATCAAGTATATATTTCACATACATAAATTTGATGATATGATAAATCAAATCTTAGGTGACACTTATTTTGTAAAGCTTGTTGTGGGAAATCAAAGAAATAATTTGTATTTTTCTTCTTCTCTTGAATTGATCATACAAGGTATTATACAGGAGATTAAAAGGAGAAAAACTAGGAAACCATTTAATTATTTCCCTTAATTTAAGGGATTACAAATTTATTCTAATTTTCTTAATTTAAGGGATTTACCAATTAATTCTAATTTCCTTAATTAAGGAAATTAGAATTAATTGGTAAATCCCTTAAATTAAGAAAATTAGAATAAATTTGTAATCCCTTAAATTAAGGGAAATAATTAAATGGTTTCCTAGTTTTTCTCCTTTTAATCTCCTGTATAATACCTTGTATGATCAATTCAAGAGAAGAAGAAAAATACAAATTATTTCTTTGATTTCCCACAACAAGCTTTACAAAATAAGTGTCACCTAAGATTTGATTTATCATATCATCAAATTTATGTATGTGAAATATATACTTGATGGTAATCCATGACAGCACTGCTATCAATGTTCATCTTCCGTGATCCATTTTTTAGGTGTAACTAATCCTAAGGACAGCACACGGCCCAAGCTCACGAGGACATTAAGCCGTGGTATTTATATTTTGACGTGGTTGTGTTTCACATCTTAATGTTAGCCATTTCATTGTGATTGTTCAAGTAGAACAACACGAATAAAATGAATATTTTTTGCATGAATTAAATGGGCGATCTGACTGAAGTATTGCAGAACATTGGAAAGCCAATTTTCTCTGTAACGTGCAATTTATATGTCACATTGTAGGTAAAAGTGGCAAAATTTTGAATGCGTCATTGTAGAATCTATTTGCTTAATGAGATCGGTGAAAATAGTAATTAATGCTGCAGAGATCAATGCTTGAATTATGAGTTTTGCTATCGAGTTTGAAAGGGATTCAAAAATTTTAGAGAAGAATTAAGAAAAAAGTTCTCGAGAGGATTCACAAAGCTGCTCTAGAGAGTCTTCAGGAGAAGTTTAGACTGAGATGACTTCTGAGAGCCAAGATTGCTTATGCTTTATCATTAATTACATTGCCTTGTAGTTAGTCCACGTGTAAGATGAAGATGGCCCCAGTGAAAATCACAAATTTAGAGGATTATCAGTGGATAAGATATTCCTAATGGAACATTATGAAAATGTTACCTTCATTCCATTTCTACGACATTAAGGCAAATATAATGCTTGGAAGAGAAGTCACCCTAAAAGCTATAACGCTGTATGTTAGAAATTTTGCAAGATGGACAATATGAAATTAGGTTTTCCACAAAAGAAATCCGAGTAATATCCATATCAGATGGATTAATCTATGATTGATGCTGTTAATGAGATCATAAATGCACTTTCCCTCAGTGCAGTTAGCCCTATGGAGTCCTAAATCCTGGACTAAGTTCAATTTTTTCACTTTACTCCTAGAAAAGAATAGCAATGATACCATTAGTCTTTTTAAAAATGAAATACACCTTTTCATGCATAGTTTTATGACACCATGGTGTTAAAAGTGTAAATAACGTGAGGAAGTGAGATGACACTATAAATGACTTCAAGCATAAGACTTAAGGGGCATTTACGCACATTCCACACAAGTCTTATATATTTACATATCTAACAATTGAACATTATATTTACATGCATACCACTTAAATCCTTAACATCACATAAAAAATATCACCGTCACTCTGTTTTTCAAAGTGAGATACACCTTTTCATGCAATAAGTTTATGACATCATGATGTTATAAGTGTAAATATCAAACTTTGGGTATTAGATATGTAAATATATAAGAAATGTGGGCTATGTATGTAAATTTCCCAATACTTAAAAGTTGACTCAAAACGCATGGCATTAATAGCGGGCCACAAATTAAGAGGGTTGATAATATTGCGTTTAATTATCAAGTTTCAAAATTGAAGCCTTTAGATTTTGATTTTAGTAAGAACCGTCATGAAGCCTGAGACTACAAAAATTGAGCCTATAAACACCACGGTCTATTGCCAAATTCTTCAGATGTTTAAAAAACTATCTATTGTGAGTCTTTTGAGTTAGAGCTGACTCCCGTGGCTTGTAAAAATTTATTCAATGGCTTACTGAAAAAAAAATTAGTTTTTTCTCTAACTTTATTATTATAATTATTATTATTTAGTTTTTTCTCTAACTTCTATGTGATAGATGGATGCACATTTTTGAGTTTGTTACAAGCCTTGCTAAAAGCTTTGGTTGAAAGCTTTCTCCTAGTACCTTCATTAGACTTCGTTTAACATTTTGGCATTTTTTTTTTTTTTGAGTTCTTGGTTTTCATGCAATTGAGATTTGATAAAGTCTTAGTACAACTTGTTTTTTTTTGGTCCCTTTTGTGGTGCGACTTCTAATTGTTGCTCGTCTTATTCAATCTTAGATTTTCTTATAAATTTCAAATTCGAGTGATCTTTAAATTTTCTTATGACAAAAGTTTTGCGGACGAATCCTTAAATTATAGTAGCTCCAATTACAATCCTAATCTTAAATTTTCTTGCAAATTTCTCAGTAATTCTAGATAAAAATTTCAAAAATCAGCGGCTGGATCAGATGATGAAAAAATAACAAAGCATGCAAAGAAATTTAACACTTGTTCTCAAAGGGATCATCATTAGTATGATTACATCAACTGAACTAATATAAATCATAAAACTGCATTTCACTATCATAAAGTGCATGGCTTGCATTTCTAATGAGTATGAACTTTGAAATTTTCATGTAAAATAGCTTTATTTTTTATAAACCAACTTTAATTGATAAATATTTTTAAATTATGATGGGGCAGTCATCGTGTTAAACTAATTTAGAAATATTATTAACTTACAAGTTTCAAAATACCTAAATTTTTTTGATAGAGAGATTATGTCGGACACATCAAATGAGACAACACTTGTCCTTGTAGTGTGTACAACTTTAGAATAATCTTGATCTTCAACTTGAGAACTTGGAAGGATCATATTTGTTGTTTCAAATCATGCCACATCTGTTATATTTGGATGCTAGAAATTTGAACGAAAGGGAATGAAGAAAAAGGGCATTTACATATACATACCACACGATTCTAATGTATTTACATATCTAACACCTAAACATTTATCTTTACATGCATACCACTAAAATTTTTAACATCACATCAACTATATCACTATCCCTTTTTAAAGGTTAAATACACCTTTGCATGCATGGGTTTATGACACCATGGTGTTGTAAGTGTAAATATCAAACTTTGACTATTAGATATGTATGTACATAAGAATTGTGTGGTATGTAAGTAAATTTTCTAAAAAAAAGTTCAGGAGTATTGACAGAATTCTATTTCACTTCATTTTCTTCACTTTGCTTAAAAAAAAGCCATTTATTTTGTGATAATCTTTCATGGAACAAACAATGCGCTAAACTAAATTAATGTTTCATATTCTCTGTTTTCCAACATTTGTATAACTGAAATGTTAAATCTAAGCCTTCTCTGTCATTAAATTCTGAGCAAAATGATGCTCTGTTTGAAGAAAAAAGTCTTCTCTCCTTAAATTACCGATCATGTGATTTATCAGAAAAACTTGAGAGGCTATCTTAATTTACTATTATTTGCAGATGTTTCAAAATCAGCTAGACGGAAGGCTAAACGGGGCATGCCAGCTTATTTATTCTGGTTTAATGTCAGCAGAACAACTTTCAGAGGTCAAAATTTAAGTTATAAGGCCTTTTTTTTGCATATGTTTTATATGCTATTTTTTCGTCAAATCTGTGTTTTTCTCTCAGAACAGGCCATGCACTTGGAATTGTAGCTTCATGGATTGTTCAGATGATAGTAGCGTTTTACAGATACTTCATCCGGAAGACATATAATGTTGGTGAAAACCATAAGAGAGAAGAAAAAATCAGATTATTTTGGAAAGAGGTCTACAGTTCAACCATTAAGTTTAGTTCATCATTAATTTTTGCGTCAATTGGAGCAGGAATTGGTGCTCTTTTCCATCCTTCAATAGGCCAGTGGATCGGTAAGTGTATTATCCACGTTTTTTCATTGGAATTTTGTTTGGTTGTAGGTTTTATCACTGCTCGGCGCCCCTCTTTTTTCAATATTGAATCATCTTTGTTTTTCATTGAAGTAATAATGCACCTTTCAGCAAATTTTTGCTCTTAGATAGCACGGGTGAACATTTTCTAAAATGCCTGAATAGCAACTTAGCGTGTTACTAATAAGGGAAATTTACTTACATGCCCCACAATTCTTATGTATGTACGCTTATACCACTTTGTTGCCATAAACTTATGCATGAAAATGTGTATTTCATTTTTAAGAAGCTAGTATGAGTGGTATTTTTTAAAGTGATTTTAAGAATTTGAGTGTTATTCATGTAACTATGAAAGCATAGGTGTTATGTATGTGAATATATAAGAATTGTGTGTTATGTATGTAAATGCACCTACTATAAGCTCATCAATAAATTTTGATTAGATTTCCTAACCCAAATTAAATTATAGCCGATCACAAAATCATTAAAATAACACCGACTACCTGACTAATCAATCAAAATTTATATTTCATTCATCTCAAGATAATAACACTTAAGGATATCATGAGGACTCCCAACAATTGGAAAAATTATTATGTGTAGCTAACCGCATGCCTGGACGACAGTCCGGATGTGGTCATGCCGAGCCATGCGATCCACGATGGCTCATCCTAAAACCATTGATCGGATGTGCGGTCAACGCACGAAATAATTTCTCCAAAAATTAATGTGAAATAAGTTTTGCATAGCGATGTGATATGTACCTCGAAAGAACAGCTTGTTTGTAATATTTTGTTATTTTGTTGTTGATTTCACAGTAAATATCTTCATAAACTTATATTTTGTCTAAAACTATTGTATGTAACGGGTTAATTTCTATTTCACTTTTTATTACAATTATTCTGCATGTAAATATCCTAATATTTTATTATTTTACCGTTGATTTTCAAACCAACATCTTCATACTTTACTCAATTTTTTTTCCTTTGAGATCTAATCTAATTGAGTTATGATATGCATACCCTTTTTTTATTTATTTTGGTGATACCACCCAATTCTTATGTATTTACATATGAACACCTATACTTTGCCTTTTATATTTACAGGCCCAAATCTTTCATGTCACATAAAACATACCATCATTTTAACTTTTAAAAAGTGAAATACACCTTTTCATGCATTGATGAGGTGATATGCGTGTAAAAATCGAAGTTTAAGTGTTAGATATGTAAATACCTAAGAAATGAGTGGTATGTATGTAAATCTTTTTTTTTTTTCTCTCCCTAAGGTCTTGCTTGATTCTCATGATTTTTATAGATTCTAAAAGAAACCTGGTATGTAAATCTGCAGGATCTTCTCTTGGGGATTTAGCTGGCCCTTTCATCATCATTCTAGTTTTTGAGAAACTTCATCTACAAATTTGAGGGATTGGAAGAGCAAATGGGTCTATAACCACAGTTGATTTATCTATGAGAAGGCTATATATAGATTCCATTATTCCATTATTCCCTGAGTTTTTTCTGCCACTAAAATTTTGATTGTTGAATTATTTCAGTGCTGCTATAATTCTGTCTGTAGATTCATTTTGTATCACTAAGGAAACTTTGTCACCATTCAAAAGCTCAAGTTTATGTGAAATTCAATAATATATAGTTTTTGTGTGCTACCGATGACGGTCTCTCAACGGGAGAGCGTGGCGGTAATGATGCTTTATGTAGTATTTAAGCATCCTGCAAGAAAAGCTCATTCTTCTTCTAAAATACATGTTTTGACTCTTTGATGCGCTTTAAGCAATGCCTCTATTATGAATTCTATAGGCAAGGTAAACTTAATCTTGATTAATATGATAATCATTTTTGCTAATTGTGTCATCAATGTTGCTCAATTTGCAAATAATCTTATGTTCTACACCTCTCGGCTATCACAAGTGTCTTAGATTTTCTCTCTTCATCCTTAAAATTCTAGTTAAATGCTGGCATCCATCTTCAAACAGAGAATTTGAAATTTGATTGATAGTTGAATGAACAAGTGATTAGGTTTTGCAAGAAGATTTTAGCTAATGAGATCTACAATAAAGAATTATGGATTAGCATTCTACATTTTGTTAACAAGATGATGAATCTCTGAAATGATTACCCATTACCTATTACCTATAGCCCAACACTCATTACCTATTGCCACCATGATAGGATGATGGGTTAAGTTTGATGTTGGTAATATCACAGCCTACCAACTTCTTTGATCCTTAATAAAATGAATTACATATGATTTCAAACGTACCCTAACTAGACGGTTATTATATTCATTTTATTTTTGGGCATATATTGTTTTGCCTGAAAGTTGATTTAGTGTCTAAGGGGGTGGTTCGGTAGCCCTGTTTTAACAGGATTATTGTGTTAATTTTAGATAAATCCGTCAAATGTGAATTTTGGAATCCTCTAAAGCTAATATTCATGTGTCGTAACGTAAATCATGGATTTATTAAATCCGTTCGAGAGTTGAAGTTAAGGGATTTAAGGAGAGTAGAAATAATAATGTGTTAAATCCTCATAAAATACCCAACATAAGGGGCTGTTTGGTTGCAAGTAGGATTTAGTTAGAATAAGATTTAGTAAATCATGTAAATTCAGATTTTAAATCCTGAAAACTGTTTGGTATGTTAATAAGTAAATTTTAATAAATTCGAAGAAAGTATTTGGTGATTTTAATAGTATTTACTGAATTTCACAAGCTTCAGTTTCTCTTCCCCAAACCGGAGGAAGTAAGAAAGCAGGATTTACGAACTTGTAGGATTTACAAAAGACATTTTTTACTGTTTGACAGGATTTAACTTAGATATGCATGAATTCTGCCGAAAACTAAGAGATGAATATAAATGATTTAAATTAAATTGTAATATCTGATTAAATTTAACAGCACCTGATTTATTAAATCCTACTTAATCTAAATCTCGTGCAACCAAAACAACTCCTAAGAATGGCAAAGTGCCCATCAGACCGCGAGACATCTCTCCCTCTATCCGTCTCTCCATAGCAGTAGATAAGAAATCTCCATTCCTCTCCAAAATCCCACCTTCACTCCTCTTCCCTTCTCAAGATCGAATCTTGCAAACATGGCGCTTCCCCTCTCCTCTCATCTCCCCTCCACATCATCCCCAACTCCTTCCCATTTCCTCCACGTCATCCCCACCTCCTTCCTCCCCCCACACCAAGCCCCTCCACATCTCCACCGCATCTCCCCTCCCCTCCGCGTCAGACTTACCCTCCGAAACACTCCTCTTCAGATTCAAGAATCCGATGAGCCCTCTGCCGCCGAGAAGATTCCAAAGCCCTTCAAGAACTCAATCTGGATCAACCCCAACAACCCCCGCGCCCCCGCTCTCCGCCGCAACTCCGCCGATTTCCGCTACGCCCGCCTTGCCCACCTCGCCTCCACCCTCGACTCCTCCCCCGCCGACGTCCCCCTCCTCCTCTCCTCCCTTCCCACCCCCACACCAGAGCCCGAAGCCGTCATCATCCTCAACAACATGGAGAACTCCTCCGCCGCGCTCTCCGCCCTCCACTGGTTCCTGCAAAACCTAAAATTGCAAAAGGAGGTTATCCTCTTCAACGTCACCTTCAAAGTCCTCAGAAAATGCAGGACTTGGGACGACGTAGAGCCCCTTTTAATGAAAATGCTGGATAGGGGAATTCAGCCAGATAACATCACCTTCTCCACCTTAATTAGCTGCGCTAGGGTTTGCGATCTCCCAGCCAAAGCTGTGGAATGGTTCGAGAAGATGCCGGAATTCGGTTTGAGTCCAGACGACGTCACATACTCAGCCATGATCGATGCTTATGGTCGCTTGGGCAAGTTGGAGATGGCTCTCCGTCTATACGATCGTGCCCGGAAAGAAAAATGGCGTCTTGATCCCGTCACTTTTGCGACTCTCATTCGAGTTTATGGAGCTTCCGGTAATTTCGATGGCGCACTCAATGTGTTTGAGGAAATGAAAGCTCTAGGTGTGAAGCCAAACTTAGTCACGTACAACAAGTTGTTAGACGTCATGGGCAGAGCTGGAAGGCCATGGCAGGTGAAGAACATTCACAAGGAAATAATCAGCAACAAGATATTGCCTAACAGAATCACTTATTCTGCTCTTATCAGAGCTTACTCCCAAGCTCGTTATGCCGCCGATGCTCTGACTATCTATAAGGAGATGAGGAGACAATCAATGGAGCTCAATGTGGTATTATACAACATGCTTTTGTCTATGTGTGCTGACATTGGCTATATTGAAGAAGCTGTTGACATTTTTGAAGATATGAAGGGGTTGCAGGATACATATAAGCCTGATAGTTGGAGTTATTCATCCATGATTACAGCTTACTCTTGTGCTGGGAATGTTGCAGAAGCTGAAAAAATGTTGAATTCAATGATGGAAGCAGGATTCCAACCAACCATCTTCGTGCTCACGTCGATCATACAGTGCTACGGGAAGGCTAAGAGGATTGACGATGTTGTGAGGACCTTCGATAGGCTATCGGCATTGGGCATTTCGCCGGACGATAGGTTCTGCGGCTGTCTTTTGAACGTGTTGACACAGGCGCCACGAAACGAATTAGGGAAGGTGATTGAGTTGATTGAGAGATCTAATCCTCAGTTGGGGTCTTTTGTCACGCTAATGGTGGATGTTGGGGCTTCTGAGGAAGTATTTCAGAAGGAAGCTGAAGAACTGTTTAGTAGCATCAGTGAGGAAGTGAAGAAAGCTTATTGTAACTGTTTGATGGATATGTGTGTAAATATAAATCAGCTCAGTAGGGCGTCTGTGCTTCTTAAACTCGCGCTGAAACTAGGTATATATTCGACGCTGCAATCGAAGTCGGCGACTCAGTGGTCTTTACACGTTCGAAGTTTGTCACATGGAGCTGCTCTTACTGCTCTGCATGCGTGGATGAATGATATGAAGAAGGCCATGGAGGATGGGGAGGAGCTGCCTCCATTGCTTGGCATTCATACGGGTCATGGAAAGCATAAATATTCAGAAAGAGGGTTGGGAGCTGCATTAGAGTTCCATTTGAGAGAGCTGAATGCTCCATTTCATGAAGGTGGTGATAAGATCGGATGGTTCCTGACAACAAATATTGCTGCAAAACTATGGTTAGAGTCTAGAGGGGCTCCAGTTGAATTAGTTGTTGCTTAAACTGTAGCAGTTGATGCAGTGATTTTATTTTACTGATTATATTCAGAAAGTAATTTCTGCAACTTGAGGACTTATTTGGTTAGTTGTGCTTACTTTTCATTTTATGTTATCACTAAAAATGAAATGGCTTTTTTTAAATGGGGGCATTTACATACATAAACATCACATAAAAAATACCAACATCACTCCCTTTTTAAAGTGAAATAAACTTTTTCATGAATAGGTTTATGAAATGCACAAGTGTAAATATCAAAGTTTGGGTATTAGATATATAAATACATATGGATTTTGTCGTATGTATGTAAATCTTCCTAAAATAAATCATAAATATAGTATTTTTCTCCAATTTTCTCTATGTTTAATCATAAATGTTTCAAATAGTTATGCAGTCATATGTGAAAATGAAGTAAAGCACAGTTTGAAATATAGAAATAATAATTAAAGCTGGATTCTTCCCACAAAATCTGATTAAATTTTTGTGGTAACATACGATGCATAAATGGATTTGTTGTACAATCTAAGAATGAAACATTGAAGCTTATATAAATAAATGTTGTGGCAAAGTTCTAAGATCGAATTTCAACTACCTTAAATTTGTGTTTCAACATTCAACAACTACTCATAAATATACAAGAATGAAGCATTGAAGCTTATAATAACAACCGTTCATAAGTTAAGCAACTACAAAACAATAGCAAAATGTCAGACAACTAAGTGATGTTCAACATGATATCAAAACAAAATATCATGAAATTTTTTTTTTTTGTAATACCAAAATAACATTGCTATCAACTTGCATTGTTGACTCCACTGGATATCAATTTTTTGAAAAGATATGCTTCTGGATGGCACTCTTTGAACCAAAAAATCACAAAAGACCAAAGCTGAGACCAGCCTCATTACAATCAATATACACTCCTGTACAGCTAAATAAAGGGAAACTCCATTGTTGTCCTGCAATGAGCTTGAGCTCTGTAGAGCTATAACATTCTCAATGACGAAGAAGAAACTCCAAACCAGTAGAAGTTGGTGTTAAACCAACAGCAGCAAGATATTGGGCATTGTAGAACTTGCTGAGATGCCTCATCCCACTGTCACATAATATGGTGACTATTGTGTGCCCAGGTCCTAAGGCTTCTGCTGCCCTAACTGCTCCAACACAGTTCATGGCCGAAGAGCTTCCGAGGAAGAGTCCATCATTCTTAAGAAGATACCTGGTAAAATTATTTACACATTAGATGATTGGAAGTTATTCAAAGATTGTTACTGTTGGAAAGCAAAATTGATTGATGATGCAGAAATTTTTGGTTAGTTCAATACATAATGACGTCTGGGGTTAACTACTACTTGAAGATCAAATCTTATTGAGTGAACATTAAAAAAAAGGAAGATTTACATACATACCACTGAATTCCTATGTTTACATATCTAGCAACTAAAATCCAATTTTTACATAATGCCACCTTACCTATGCATCAAAAGGTGCATTTCATTATTTAAAATTTAAAATGTTGGTATTTTTGTTGTGATATGAATGATTTGTGCAGTATAAATATAAAAAAAGTAATGTTTAGATGTTAGACATATAAATATATAGGAATTGGGTGGTATGTATGTAAATGCCTCAAAGAAGGATTAACAAAAGTTTTGAAGTACTGACAAATCATTTAAAAAATGGTGAAAGCTAAAAGATTTCACTTCAAGCGTGGTCAAACATGCTATAGTAAAATTTTGCTATCCACCGCATCCTAACATAAGCAAAATCAATAGAAAAATAGTTGTACACACCAATATTATTGGCACAAATCTCAAAGCAATCTAACGACTAAAGACAATAACACAACGATCGAGACATTAAATTCAAGAGAGTTGATTTGAACGCCTTCGATCCCTCGCAGAGCTGACCAGATTCCCATCGCTCTGTACAAATGTTTCTTTAAGAATTATTCGTGGACTTCTACTACATATGCATGCACTGATTTTACTTAATCAATTTATTTGTTACTCTCTTTTTGAGTGCAAAGAAACATTTTAGGGGGAGAATGTGTTGTTTTATTTTTTAGCTTTTCTGATACTTTTATAAATGAAATTGGATATGTTTTGATGCACATTTGAAATTTGCAAGATAGATAAATTAGCAACATCTTTACATGTTTTAATTAATCAGTGGAAACAATGAAATGAAATATATATGAGTATTGTTCATCTGTTTATTTCAGATTTTTTTTTTTTGTTTATTTTCTTTTCATGGTTATATAAGTATCGTTTTACAGTTTCTTTGAGAAATTTTGTTGGTCGGATTGCTTGTTCTTGCCTCTTCCTTGGTATAGATTAACATTTGGGGGGGGGGGGGGGGGGGGGGGGGAGGGAGAGTTGGTTTTTAAAATTTTTTTGAGACTTTTATAAATATAATTGTATATGTTTTGCTGCATAGTTGAAGCTTGTGTGATAGATAAGTTAGCAACATTTTTTTTTGTTCTGACCAATCAGAAAAAACAATGAAATGAAATATATATGATCATTGTTCAATAATGCAAGCAGAAATTTTTTTTTAATTTTTTTTCCTTGGCCATGTAAGCATTTCAGTTTTTCTGAGAAATTTTGTTGGTTGAATTGCTTGCTATTGCCTCATCCTCAGTGTATAGTAATATTTTTGGGGGGAAATGTTGAGCACAACTTCCTTTTTTTTTAGTTTTGTTGAGACTTAAAAACGAAATTACATATTCTTTGATGCAAAGTTGAGTTTTACAAGATAGATAAGTTATCAAAATCTATACGAATCCTGATTAAGCAGAAGAAGCTATGAAATGAAAAATATGAGCATTGTTAATCTTTTTATTTCAGAATTTTTTTTGTTTATTTTATTTTATGGCTATATGAGAACTGTTTTTGTTTCTTTGAAAATTTTTATTGGTCAAATTGCTTGCTCTTCGCTCCTCTTTAGTGTAGAGTGACATTTGGGGAGAATTTTGAGCATTGATTTCATTTTTTTTAGTTATGCTAAGATTTTTAAAAATTAAATTTTTTAGTTATGTTGAGATAAGTTGACAACATTTTTATCTATCCTTATCAACCAGTAAAAGCTATAAAATAAAACATATTTGACATTTTTAATCTGTTTCTTTCAGAATTTTATGTGTATTTACTATGCATTTGCATTCACTGAGGTTATGTGTCCTATAATATATCAATTGGGGAATGTCATTCAAATGTTATTTAGCGTGATGATGTTATTAAATTGACGAGGTTATTTTCCCACAGATATTAGTCGTTAGAGAACACGTTCAAGTGCTTATTTGATTGGGTAAAATGGTGATTATGGATTGAGTATTCTTTGTTTAAGAGATCCACTGAACTCTAATTATTGCCTTGAGGACCTAATTTGGCTAGTGTGATAGAAACAAAAAATTGGTTATTGTTATCCTATCTGGCATGTAATATGAGGGTTTGCATTAGTGCATGCATATACATAATAAGTACAAAAAAAAAAAAAATCTTAAAGAAACAGATGCTCAATGCTCATATATATTTCATTCAATAGCTTCTACTGGTTGATCAAGAAAAGTATGGATGCTGCTAAATTATCTATCATGTAAACTTCAACTTTGTAACAAAACATATACAAATAATGCAATTCCATTTATAAAAGTTTTATCAGAATTAAAAAAAAGAAGCAATGCTCAACATTTTCCCCTCAAAAGTTACAATACACTGAGTAGGAAAGGACAAACAATTCGACAAATAAAATTTCTCAGAGAAACTGTAAAACAATGCTTATATATCAATCAATGTTGACATATGTTGAGGTGGAGTGTATGTTAACTTATTGGAAATGATTCTCAAGATTTATATGATCTTATTACTTTGGATGTTTTGTGGACCCTTTGGTTGTTTGGTTTCCGTTTATGTTGATGCTTTTGGAGTGCAATTTGGTGGACACATTTCACATTTTTTGTAAAATGTTTACTAGAGCGATGATGAAAAAACATTATTCTAGGCTTGCTGATTGTCATTATTGGTTTCATTATTGTAATCATTTGCTTCAAATAGCTCATATTTTTTTATATATTATAATATTTTAGACTAGACTGTTAGTTTTTGTAGCAGTACAATCTCTTTCTGTTATTTAGTTTTAAATATTCTGAAAACCGCACTTATTTCAATATATTACATATTTAAGGGCAAAACAGTCTTTCTCATCAAAAATAGCAACAACATAACAGATCTCCCCAAACAGATATATGTTTTTTCATCAACAGTTTTCTGACAGCTCATGAAAGCTGCTTCTTTAGGAAACAGCTTTACAACAGCTTCTTGAAAAATCAGCAGCCGCCCCAAACACACTTTGACTAAACATTTATGAACATTGAATAAAAAATCATATTAACTACTCTAAAAAGTGGGGAAAGGCAAACAATGATGATGAGTAACGCTAGCATATACTCAAAAGAAGTCGATTTCAAGTTAATTTCAAACCATAAAAGCACTTCTATTACTATTCTAGCATAGCTCTTTATTTATTTTTTCACAATTGAATGTAATATAGTAAATTAATCGTTGAGATGGTTTTAGAGTCCAAAAAGGATTCCAAATTCAACCTTTGATTTATGTTTCATATTTTGCATATCAAATTAAAAATAATATTATGTGATGGGAGGAGAGAATCAAACATCTATATTATGCAAGCAGCACTAAAGTTTAACAACCAAATCCCTTCTTAAAAGCTCAAATCAACTAAAAAAACAAAAGCTCTGAAACACAGACTCCCACCTCTATTCGAATTTTATTGAATCAATTTTGAATTGACTTAAAAGTCGAAAATTTTTTTAGTTTTATTTTTATTTGAAGCTTCGAGCATTAATAAGTTTTTTTTTAATTGACACCTAAATTTTATAATTTATGCTCACCTGGACATTTCGACAGCTTCCTTATCGGTGCCTCGGTAAGCCCCATCTAACTCTGCCATCAAAAAGTTCTTGGTTAATCTGTTGATTCCAATTCCTTCAGTGATTGTGTCAAAAGGATTCTTGAGCCTGCGGCCCTCAGCCTCCTCTTTTGTGTACATCACTCCTCTAGTAACCCTATTGAACAATCCAGATCCAGGTGGATCAATCAGAAAACATTTCACATTTGGATTCTTCTCCTGAAGAAAGTAAAAACAGATGGCCAACGTTAGTACCCATAAAAACATATTAAATAATTAAGTTTCTGTTTGGATTAAGAGAATTCGGGGGAAATCCAAAAATCTTTTACTTCATAATCTCATATTAGGTGCCTGGTTCTAATGTAATTCATAAGAAATTGTTAACTAATAAATGAAAAAAATATTTTTATTGTGAAAAATATGAAGGGGAAAAAAATGAATTGCCGACGTGGCTATAAGATCAAAGTTCTATTTCATATTAGCAAAAAAAAAAAAAAAGAAAGAATGGAAAAAAAAAACATTTTTCCATTTAATTTTTCCTCAAACAAACGAGTGACTTAAAAAACAAACTTTTAACTCAATTCCTTTACCATATTTATTTCCCTTTTTTCCTAAATTGCTTCTTTTTTTTTTCAATTCCTGCAAAGCGAATAATGCGTCAAGTTATATATAAATTTATGCTGAAACCTTAATATATCGTGAAACTCCTGCAACTGTTCCACCGGTTCCAGCAGCAGCAACGAAGGCATCCAAATTTCCTTCTGTCTGTTCCCATATCTCAGGACCAGTGCCCTCATAATGTGCGCGGAAATTGGCTAAATTTTCAAACTGATCGGCAAAGAAACCTCCTTTAGAGTAATCTTTTGATCTCCCATTGTTTTTTATTTCAAAAGTTTCTCCAAGTTTTGATTTTGCAGCAGATTCATTCGCCTCTAAGGCTCTCCTCCTCGCAACATTAACAAAGTGGTCTGTGTGTGTGATGGAAACTGGTCTCACTCTTTCTACAATTGCTCCTAAAGCCTCAATAATTTGAGCCTGAAAATGAAAATCACCATTAGCTAAAGAGGATGAGGTTTTAGAAGATAAGAAGTTACACATAGCTTAATGCTTCTGAACTTCATTGAATATATTTCTTCTACTAATGCCCACAGAGCACTCCATGAAACCTTGTTTTTTCCTTACTGAACATTTCGACACGAGACCGAATAAATTTGAGGAAGATTTACTACAAACCCCTCAATTCTTATCCATTTACATATCTAACACCTAAACTTCAATTTTTACATGCATATAACACTTTGTCTGTGCATGAAAAGGTGTATTTCACCTTCTAAAAGTTAAAATAGTGCTATTTTTGATGTGATATGAAAGATTTGGGTGCTGTAAATATAAAAAGCAAATTTTAGGTGTTAAATTTGTAAATACATAACAACTAGGTGGACTGGTAGCATGGATGTAAATGCCTGAATAATATTTTGAATTAGGTTGTAGGTTTCTCATACAGGCATTAAAAAACAAACATTCAAAACTAAGAAAAATTCATTTACCTTCAATTAAAAGTAAGAACCACAGTATCTAAATTAACATGCCACTGCTCACACAAATGGCATGTAAGGTTGCCTTCCAGCTGATCATGAACTTAAACATACCTTTTCAGCAGCCGCATCATCAGGAATGACAACATGGCATTTACATCCATAAGCAGGAGCAACAGTGGCGATACTTATAGCAGTACTTCCAGCACTACCCTCAGTCACCACACCGCCTTCCACAAGAGCTCCAGACTTCAGAGCCTACAGATCGCAATTAGGTTAGTTATTTCTCCCAATTCTTCGAAAGTAGAACAAAACCCTAAAAAAGGGTTAGGGGTTACTTCACCTCTTCAATAATTTTAACCGCAACGCGATCCTTGACGCTGCCCCCAGGGTTTAGGAACTCAGCTTTCCCCAAAATCTGTGGGGAGTTGGTAACTTAGAGAAGAATTGAATGATTGGGTTGAAGAGATTGAGAAAAGGGGTAGTGACCTCGCATCCCGTTGCTTCGCAGAGGCTGTTGATTCGGATGAGAGGAGTGTTTCCGATGGCGTCGATGAGGCCCCTCCTTTTCTTGGGCTTCGTGCTAGGATTTCTATGGGGGCTATTTCTCCGAGGAAGAAGGCGAGAGGCTTGGCTGGAAAGGAGGAGGTAGGAGACTAGGGTGATGGAGAGAGCCGCCGCGGCATAGAGTCCGGTAGGTTTTTCGGTTGCCATCTCGCTTCTTCTTTCTATTGATGGGAAACCACTCTACCTGTCCGTTTGGCGCTGCTAATTTATTTGCAATTTTTTTAACAAAAATTTCTCTAAAAAAAAGGAAAATTTTACATACATACCATAGTTCCTTATATTTACATATCTAACATCCCAAATTTTTGTTTACATTTATAATACTTGATGAGTAGTATTTCGAGACAAAACGAGCCGAAGACGAACGGACACATCTTTAGTTCGTGTTCGACTCGTTAACTTATCGAACGAAATTAACGAGCCGAACACGAGCTTCTTAACGAGTCGAACACGAGTTGTTCGCGAACAACGAGCCGTTTTGACAACCCTACGGTTAAGTAATGAATTATTGTATTAGCATTTCACGAGAATTCAACACACTCATATGAAAGAAAATAACTAGTAGAAATACCAGAAGTTTTTATGTGGAAAACTTGTAAAGGAAAAAAAAAAAACACAGGTCTGGCCTAATTAAAGAAATCTAGTATAAACTAAGATTTATAAGTACAATCCATTGTCCCACAAACGAGAGAGAATTACAATGTCTCCCAAGTTATAACGTCGACGAGCGGATGAACCTGTTGCTTGGAACGAGCGGTGAATGATAGAGATATGTGGCAACCGACAGGTGGTAATTACGGTGATAAGAATGATGCTGAACTTCAGTTCTTTCTTAAATCTTCAAGTTCTTCCTTCAGTCCCAAGCTCTCCTAGGGGTGGGGCTCTATTTATGGAGTTCTGTGTGCAATTAATACAAGAATATGAAATACTTCGATCAAACGGTTCGAAGGGATTATCTTGATCAGACAACGTGATGGACATTTGAGGGTCTAAACGATATCAAAATTGAGCAATCTTGGGCTCGTTGGATTCGTCTTGTTGAGACGCTTGATTCGACTATGAGCTCATCAGATTCAACATCCGTTTAACCTTTCAAATATGTCAGAAAAGATTCTAAGAATAGTTTGATGACTTGATTTGAGCTAATTTGACTCAGATTGGACAAAATTTCGTTTCACTGGGTCCGTCTGATTGAGCCAATCAATTTGACTGTAAGTTTGCTGAAATCAGACTTATAGTGGATTTTTTATCGAAGTTTAAACTTTTCTTGCTTAAAAAAGTGCATCGAGAACTCTGTCATGCATCGAGATTTATGCAGGATGATAAAAAATTATTGATGACATCTCAATATTTGTTATAAAGTCGTGCATAAAAATAAATCTACATGCCAACTCGTTTTATGATTATTACTTCTCAAAGAAACTCAAGTTTTTGTATGTAGGCTTTTGAGGTCTAGCCTGGAACGACTTTTGGGAAATAGATCAACCAATCCAAACAAAAAAATCAATATTAAATGAACCATGCTCAAAATAAGAGGTCCCACATGTGATTCATAATTTTTCTTAGCCTTACATTTAGGAGTGCAAGTAAGCTTACTCAAGAGCCGCTGATCAAGAGCCGGCTTAGCGATTAGCGGCTCATGAGCTGAGCTTGATAAGCTAAAAAATCAAGCTTATGCCAGACCTCAATTTGACACATAAGCTTATGAGCCCACTCATTTAAAAAAAATATTAATATAAATAATATTTAAAATATAATAAATTTTAATATTATATCTTCAATATATTAAAAACATTTAAAAATTATACTTTATATCTTATATCAAATAAATTTTTTTTAATTTTTTCTCTTAATTATTCAATGTTTCTATCATTTTATCATAACACTAAATTAAATTAATATCATTCTCTTTATTTTAGAATAAACCATGAGCTAACCCGGACTCGAATGCTTGAACTCGAGCTCAAATTCAAGTAATTTCATCAAGTTCAAGCACAAACAGAAGATGAATAGGTATCACCTCAACTTCTTTACACCTATAGCATCATTTGATTTATTGTACATAAGCAAAGTATATTTAAAAAACAAGAAATTTGTATGAATATATATTTTTCTTATAATGAAATTGAAAATATTATACCCGACAAAAACTTTTTAAAAAATTTTGCCAAATTTGAATTCATTTGTGATTTTTTTTATTTCAAAAATTTTTAATCATATCCCATTAAAAAAACATTAAAATCATGCGTATTATAAGCATATCACTAAATATTTTTGAAATAACATATCCAACAACCGCAGCTTTATACTACTCAAAAACCCTTTTATACAACTAAATTATCATCGTAATTCCCATTTTCTATTTATTTAAATATTTTCACACCAGTACCCAAAACATTAAATATAATATTTTAACTCACAAAAAAGTTAAATATAACATTTTAACCACTTATTTTATTACACCCACCAACCTAACCACTCAATTCCTATGTATTCACAAATCTAACACCTAAACTTCAATTTATGCATACATCCACCTTATCCATGCATGAAATTGTATTCCACTTTTAAAAAGTTAGAATGATGATAGAGTTTAGATGTTAGATATGTAAATATATAAGAATTGGGTGATATCTATATATAAATGCCTCACATGGTGAATAGATCAACCAAGGCTATACAACGCCCTGAAAGAAGAAATATAGCTTGCAGGCTTGCACCAAAAGATGAAGCAAAACAGCGTTAAACAGCTGAATTAGTCGAGAGATAGCTTTCAATTAACGTAGAATTAGAATCTCAATGGAATAAAATAATCAGATTCTTCAAGTAAACTTACTGAAGCCAATATTTTTATATTACCAGTCAGCAAATTTATATCAATTCAAGTAAAGAGCATTTTAAATTATCATCATGCAAAAAGATGGTGATGTTTACAAAACAAGTAAAAATTCCACAATTACATAAATGTCAAAAAAACTTGGATCATCAGATAAGTTGAAATAAAACTGCTGGAAATGTAAAATGCTATTCTACTCAAGTCAACAAGGGAAGTAAAAGCAATTAATTGCTTACAATCATGAAATAAAACTGTCATTATTCTATATGCCTCATTGCAACCCCATTTTAACGGCTTTTATATCTTATGCTGCCTACTGGTTCTTCGCCAAGGTGAGGTAATAAAGAAAGATTACAATTTCAAAACTATCAAACCTGGTGGTGGCAGAGTTTAAAGACCGAAGAAACCCAGTTCGGTGGCTCTCTCCTTCTCGAAAGTCTCAAAATATTGATATATGATGGTTACGGCAAGCAGAATACCAGTTCCAGAACCAATTGCTCCCATGAAATCTGCAAGAACTGTGAGGGCTCCGATGCACATACCTCCGAATGCAGCTGCAGTTGGAATGTAACGGTTTAGCTCCTTCTGTAGATTGGATTCTCGATGGCCTGGCATCACCATTTGTTGTTCCTGATCGATAGAAAAAACGCATCATAATTGAATCTCAAACTAAAGTTACAATGCAAATGAAAGTACTTTTGCATAAAATTAATTAAAGCTGGTTGGCCTTTTCAATGAGGAAAAATGACGGTGATGCGAAGAGCAGCTGTTCTGTGGTGTTTCGGCACCACTCATTCGCTGAACATGTATAGGAATGGTCACTCTTAAACATATCCCCTTAACAAAATAAATCAAAAGCATTAAAAAAAAAAAAAAATTAAATATATACCGTACATTTATAACATGTTGGTGCAGTAAACAATGCGTGAAAATGTGCATTTGACTTCTTAAAAGTAGGCGATAAAAGGTATTTTTGATATGATATTAAAGACTTGAGTACTATGCATGTAAATATTGAAGTTTGGGTGTTATATAAGTATATACTTCAAGATTTACATGCATACACAATTCCCATGTATTTACATATCTAACAGCAAAACTTTTTATAGGCATACTGCCTTACCTATATATGAAAAGGCTCATTTCACTCTTTAAAAGTTAAAATAGTCGTATGTTTTTATGTGATGAAAGATTTGGGAGGTAAATTCACGAGAATTGGATGGTATGTATATAAATGGCCAAGAAAATAAAAAGAGGTAAAACAATCCTGGCTGAAAGCTGAACTAAAAAAGTTCTCAATGAGCCCAGGAAACGAGATTATAGATCAATAAATCCTCTGTTTGTAAACATGCCATCATACACTCACTCACAAAGTAAAAAACGAAATGTAGAATATAATGCGGACTTAATTTTCAGATCTAGCGAACAATTGCGCACCAAAATAATCAGCTGGATTAATTTATTATCAGAAACATACCTTAAGCTGCTTAGCCACATCTCTCGCTGATGATCCCGAAACTTCGATCCAAGTTTTTGAGAAAAGTGCACATGCTGACAGCATAAAAACTATATAGAAAAGAGCATGGAATGGATTTGCAGCCATATCTGCCAAACTGCACCAAAGTTCCAACAAAAGGGCCCCATAAATGCCACAAAAAATAAAGCACAACTGCCTAAAAATGTTATATATTGTATGTTCAACAATGAGGTAAATGCAAAAGATGTAGAAATCACCTTGATGGTGCTGTAATGTAATAAGCAATGCCTCCAACAGGAACAGATTGACCAGAATATTCAGATTCCTTCCATATGCCGAGCAATTTTACAAGGAAGTTTCCACTGTATCTCCTATAAAGCAACTACAACAAGCACAAAAGTGATTACAGATTTTAAAATTTGGTGATAGCCGACAACCAACAGTTCATATAGCAGTATAGTATACCTGTGAAATAAAATACAAGTTTGAAACAAGCGCTGACTGTAGTATAATAGGCATGTTCGAGGTATAAAATAGCTTGATAGGATAAGAGCCTTGTTGTCCCCGGGCATTCTTCGACCTCACTGGCAGAACCACACGAAATCCTTGGAAATATATAACAATAAGAAAAACCAGAACCGTAGCAAGCAAGTTGGTCACATTTGGGAGATTTTGCCGGTAAAAAGCCTCTCGTAAAGCTCGAACTTTGTCGGTGCGGGTAATAAGCAAATGGAACAACGCAATAACAGCACCTTCAAATTCAGCACCCCTCCCAGTGTTAATGGTGGTAGGGCTGAATGCCTTCCAAATGATATTTTCACTGCAAAATTATTGCAATTCAATATATTAAAAAGGTCCTTTTTTATATATTATTAGAATAAGATGAAAAAGGACAATAAGCTTACCAAATGTTGGTGGCTATGAAAAGTGAAATACCAGATCCAAGGCCATATCCCTTCTGGAGAAGTTCATCTAAGCAGATCACAATGATACCAGCAAAGCAGAGCTGAAGAATAATAAGAATAGCATTACCAGCACCAAGCTGGCCGACACTACCATACATCCCTGAAAGTACATAAGCCACTGCTTCTCCAATTGCAATTAGGATGCCAAGTAATTTCTGCGCACCATTTCTGAAAAAGTACAAAATTTTCTAAGTTCAAAAGCTGTAAACAGAGAATTCGTGAAGGGTTTCAGAGTAATTATGTGAAATTTGAAAAGAAATAATTAATGCACAGTAAATTTCTTAAAAATGGCAGTACAACTACTAAAAATAAAAATTATAGGTAAAGATCATCCTGACAGCCATGAAGCACAAAAACTTTTAAGGGTGTTGACTTGGAAATGATACAATAATTGTACAAGTCAATCACTCTAATTTGAGGAGTAGAATGACCATTCATCCTATAATTCTCTCTTTATGTCTAATAACTTATAGTTTTCAAACTCAAGAACACATAATTGATTATGACTACTAAATAAAGACCAATTTTTCTTTTCTTTGCTGATTCGTCTCAATGAAATTTGCCATGTTACACTAGGCTTCCTTTCACGAAAAGGGTAGAAAGCTAGTCCCTCAAGGATTCTGCCCTGTGCCTGAGAGGAGGCCCAAGAAAGCAGATGTTGATTGTTCTTGGGCCAAAAAAAACGAAAAAAAAAAGAGAAGAAAAAGATGAACTCCTAAACTCTTCCTCTTACTCTCGATGCAGTCTCATAAGGAACAGTATGGGTTGGAAAGCATACTTTTTACTAAGAAACTAAGAAAGAGTGCGCTTTAGTTATCACTTTGGTTGTAAAAAGCCGGAGACTACAAGACTATGACCACAATCAAAGTTATGAGCAATAGCGAAGCCAAGCCTTCTACTTTTTGTTTATAACACAAACACACAAAGGGGAATGCCACCCGCTCCCACACTTGCACTTTAATTGAAAGCCAATACACTTTTTGTTTATAACACAAACACACAAAGGGGAATGCCACCCACTCCCACAATTGCACTTGAATTGAAAGCCAATAGAGGAAATTCTAAAGAAATATTCCTTGGAAAAGCCGTTTGAGAAGACTTGTTACACATGCCTGCTTAAGATTAAGATGCAAGCATATAGTTTCTATGCCTAAAAGTGTTCTTTCTCTCCACGATTGAAAAAGAGGAGTGATAACTTGACTAAAAGCTCGAGATGAGTTGAGGCCGTAAAAAGGCATTGGCCCCCACTTCCCCAACATTAATGTTGATATGTAGCCAATACAGTACACTAGCGCCTTTTTTTCTTAAGCTGTGATTTGGTTTCTATTTCCTTTATACTCAATGCCTAAATTTCTAAGATGGCATGAATGAGATGCATCAAATAATAAAAAAAAATGTTTGAAGAAAAATAATAGGCCCACAATGAGAAGTGTTGATAAGTAGCCAATACACTTCACTATTGTTGATATGTAGCTCGAAAGGAGTTGAGTCTGCAAAAAGGTACCGGCCCCAACTTCCCACACACTATTGTTGATATGTAGCCAATACACTTCACCTAGAGCCTTTTTTTCTTAGCCCGTGATGTGGTTTCTATTTCCTTGATACCCAATGCCTAAATTTCTAAGATGACATGAATGAGATGCATCAAATATAGAAAAAAAAAAATTTTTTGAAGAAAAAGACTAGGCCCATATTGAGAAGTGTTGCAACACCTTGAAATGGATGAATAAACATCACACCTATGGTGGTTGCCATACCCAAGGATTCCAAATTGACATCTTGCTTGGATTCTTACTCACAGGGCCTACACCATCCGTTCAACCACAAAATTGTATGTTGCACTTCTGTCAACAACAACAACAACAAGCCTTTATCCCACTAAGTAGGGTTGGCTACGTGAATCATATTTCTCCATTGTCCGTATTGCGTGCATGTTTTCATTTAATTCTAAAAAATTAAGATTGCACCTGTTTCAACCAATATCTTAATTTAGGTCAAATTTTGAATATACTCTTTTATTAGGACTATGATATCTAATTCATATTTAAATTTTAAGGTTTTATCATTTATTACTACTATAAGTTTTCCTCTTTCTTGTTCAGCAACGTTCATAATATAAAATATTGTACAACTCCAAAGAGAGAGAATTTACCATAAATTCTTTAGCTAAAATATAAAAAAATTATTTCTTACATAAGGCTAGGTCCTGCTTTAATAGGAATGTTTTTCTCATCAAATCCTTCATCAATTTTACTCATTGGTTAACTATTCATTAAGCACCCAAAAAGGAAAAATTGGCTAGATGGCATTCGGAATCCTGCTAAATAAATTCTAGCTATCAGGTATCTCACCAATCAAAAGCAACAGAGACATTCAAAATATCATCGGTGAATAGAAGATTGCAATCAACTTCTCACGCAATAGATACAATCAATAGAAATAAAATCCAAAAAGACTGAATGTTTTAATTAGAAAAAATACAGGTTTGAATAAATAATTCTTATAAAAAATTAAGACGAATCGAGGATCTTTCAGAAATCCACCGAAGCCATGCCCGACATCATCATCTACTAAATTAAGCATGCAATACAGAAAGAAACCAATGAATATACATTCAAGTAGAAGCCACTTACAGCAGAGCGCGATCCTCTCTCACGCTATTGTCAACCTCGATGATCTTAGATCCAGCCAGCAGCTGCATGACTAGCCCCGACGTCACAATAGGAGTGATTCCCAGCTCCATCACCGTTCCCCGATTCGAAGCAAGGATGACACGCATCCAGTAAAACGGATCCGCTCCGGTAGTTGAGTGGATACCATAAAGGGGAAGCTGACTGCAGACTAAAAATATAAATAGCGATATCACGGTGTAGATGACCTTCTCCCTGAACGGTATCCTCCGATCAGCAGACTCCACCTCCGGTAAGATCGCCAGGAACGGCCTCACAAGATGCAGAACCCTAAATCCTCCCGCCATTCTTTTCGCACAAAACAAAGAGTCCAATCCAGGAAAAATTATCTACTGCAAAGGCTAAAAGACAGATCTATAGATAATTAGATTACCAAAGGCGATCACAAAGTAGTAACCAATGGAGCCCTAGCGGGAGAGACGACGACGATCCCTAGATGAAGTCGCCGTACGCTAAATACGTAGCAGAGACGAAGATCCGTTTCACGACGGAGCGTTGAATGTTTACAAATTAAAAAAAAATCTATTTAAATAAACCTAATGTTAATAATCTATACATTATACTTATTTTAAAATAATTTCAGGATTATTAACATATATCCCATAATATTTTGACATTCACTCTTAATTGATTATTTTTAAATTTTATATGAACATGAATAGAGTTTAAAATATTTAAAAATGACATACTCCACGATACAAACAGTTTTTCATTATAAATTTCTATATGAAATAATTGTAGCTTATTAAAATGTAGTTTTGAATCTATTAAAAAATAATTTGTTGTTCAAAATATTGCGGTTGCAATTATAAATTTTTTTAAAAAGTTAGACTGCAACCAGAAAGCTGCTACCACATCCAATAAGAGTCAGTGAGAAAATACAGATTTCAGTAGCAGTTTTTTGAAAAAGTTATCAAAACACAGTTTACCCAAATAAACAAAACTGTAGTATGGTGTGCTGCAGTGGGGGCACCGCCGCCCCAAATGGACCATAAGCCTAAATTGATTTTGACTTAAATATTTAGAATGTGATTAAAAGTTTTGTGATATTAATTGAAGTATCAGATGATCATTAAATTTTATATTTTTTATAATTGAATATGATGTCTCTTGAGAGAGATCAAACAAGACAAAAATAACTCTATTTTAAATTTACTAATGCCTTCAAATCATGGATGAACAATTTGTAATCATATAAATAAACATTGGTCATTTGATAAAGTGCTTTATTATTTTAGAAATAAATAAATAAAATGTAACTAAGCCCATATTCCTACACAAGGGGGTGTGTGCGCATGGAATGGGTTACATTCCATTAGAGATGAAGTGCGCGCGGATCACACAAGATTTAAGTAGCTAGAAATTTTTTCCTAGCCGTGTTGAGTGGAACAAGATTTATTATTCTTGAAATTGGTTCCATAGAAGAGCAAACCCCTAAAATTAATTACATATAGAAAGAGCTTATCTTCCAGTAAAATTCTAGATTAAAATTGTGGGTCTCAGTTTTACATATCACAAACTTTGATTCAAAATTATTTTCTTAGATATTCAAATGGGTTTAGCTCAATTGGAATAGTTCATAGTTGGATTCCAACAGAGGAAATATATGAAGCATCATATTTTGAAAAGCTCAGTTGTGCTCCAGCCTATCATATAATTGAGCCCTTAATTTTAGAAATTAAGCTTGATATTTAGTTTTAAGTTGTTCAATTTTATTTAAAAATTCAAAGCTTATGATTCAATAATACTAGGTCTGATGCGTGCTGGAAAATCCGCGGCGGTAGAGTAACAGATTATCGTCTTAGCATTGTACGAGAATTCAACACACACACAGATGAAAAAGAAACAAACAGTGATCACTCTAGAAACTTTTACGTGGAAAACCTGGAAAGGAAAAAAAAAACATGACGTCTGACCCAATTACGAAAATCTACTATTGATTAATGATTATAGAGACCCCTTGTCTCACAGACGAAAGATGGTTACTAGCTTTCCAAGTTAAAACGTCGATTGACGGCGTCTAATCAGCTGGAGTCGACGGGGAGGTCTGTGGTGATCGACGGTAGTCAATGACAATCAATTACGGTTGGTGGTGGTCGACGAAGGTCAGCGGTGGTTGACGGTTGACCGGCAACTTTATATATGCTTAAACATACAAGATAAATATGGACGTAATAAATATTCGATAATTGTAAAGTCACACTTATCAACGCAAGTATATGTATCGCTCAAACAAATATAGGGCTCTAATGGAGTCCTAGATATCGATCCCATAGGGAGTGGTTTAGAACTGCAAACTAAGATATTAGAAAAACAATACTTTAATCACAACAACAAAGTTCAATTTGCTTATCTGTCACTAATAGACAATTGAAATAAATAGATAATTTTAATAACTATTAAATAACTAATGATACTAAGGAGGGTTTAATTGTGATATTCAATATATAAGAAAACATCATTCTCCTTGTCAAGAAATTTGAGTGAATTAATAAAGTGAATTAGTTCAATTTATATTGTACTAAATAGGAGCATACCTATTCTTTAACATTTGGTCCAGGCATAAAGAACATTGACTAATCCTATGTTTGTTTACTAAATCTGCGGCTAGGATAGGAGGATAACGGCTCTCACTTCAGAGCTCCCACGTTCCCCTCACCTGAGGGCTAACATCTACACTTCAGCACCCAAACAATAGGACCGAATTGGGGATTTTAGTCTGTCACTCCAAAATCTCCAATTCAACGCCCGATAATATTATTTTCCTATTTATTTGCACCCAACTTCCAAGGGCTTTGACCTCCCTAAATCTTGGATGTAATCTTCACTTTAGTTGTAAAACTCAACATATTTTAACAAATCAATTGACCAAATTGAAAGTAAATTAAGATCGAAGTGAAAAGATTATCATAATTTCTTAAATATTTTCATGGCTTCACCAATTCAAATCACTATTTCACAAATCTCAAGACAAAGAAAACTACTCAGATCTCATGGGGAAAACACAACAAAACTCAGAATTCATATATAAAATCAAAGTCATACAAACTACAACAAGTAAATAACTTATCTCTAATTTCTTCCCAAGAATACTCCTCGAAGTTCCTCTGAATCTCTTCCTTTCCATACAACACACAGAATTCTTCTTTGAAGTAGCAAGGATGAAAAAATCTCTCACTTTCCCTCTACTCTTACAATCTCTCGAAGAATTCCTCACAATTGTTACACACTATTGGAAATTGTATACACTAATGGAACCTCTCTAACATCCAGGACTTTTCTAATTTTTTGCCAAAATATTCTTTTAAAGTTGTGGATGAGCTTTCCCAAAAGTTGCCTAAGCATCCCTTCAAAAATTGGACTTATTCAAAGCTTGAGTAGGCATAACCGTCGAGCTCGCCGTCAGCGGCCCCGCGGGCGCCCCCCGAGGGCGCCGTCGACAGACTTCTGAAGAATTTTGTCATGTAGCCTCGGGAAAAACTCGCCCACGGCGGGGGCTAGGCCAACGGCGGGGTCTAGGGCGCCGTCGACGGCCTAGTTCAAATCTCCACATTTTGGCCCTTTTATCTCCAAATTCGCTCATTTTTGCATCTTTTTGTTCCAATGACCCTAGTTCATCATTCCTGCAACAAAACATCAAAAATACCTTTCTTTAAAGTGCAATATCAACAAAAACAATGTAAAATAGGTATGAAAATCTCAACATATTTTTCTTTGGTCAAAATCCCCCAACGGTAGTCGCTGACGGTCGACAGAGGTCAGCGGTGATCAACAGTGGCCGGCGATAGTTGACAGAGGTCTACGGTGGTCGCCGACGGTCGGTGGTGGTCGACGATGACAGGGATGATGTTGGACTTGAGCTCTTTCTCAAAGCCTCAAGTTCTCTCTCAAGCCTCCTCTTTCATGTGAGGGGTGAGGCTCTATTTATAATATTTTCGGTGCAATTAATGTCGGAATATGAACTATTTTGATCGGACAGTCCGAAGAACTTCCCTCGATCATATGATGTTTGATGGACATTTGAGTGCCTTAATGATATCGAAATTGAGCAATCTTGGGCTCGTTGGATTTGTCTTGTCAAGACGCTCGATTCAATTATGAACTTGCTAGATTAGACATCCGTTTGACCTTTCAAATGCCTCCGAAAATCTTTTAAGAATGATTTAATAATTTGATCTGGGCTTGATCTGATTTAGATTAGACTAGTTTTTATATCATTGGATCATTCTCATCGAGTCTGTTAGTTTGACTGTAAGTTTACTGAAATCGGAGTTCTTGATAAATTTTTATCAAGATTTGAATATTTCTTGCTTAAAATATTACCTCGAGACTCGTGCTGGATGATGAAAATTTGTTGTTGACGTATCTAGGTCTTAGAATAATGCTTATGAGATGACTTAACTTATAACAAAGAGCTAACAAAAAGAGGTTATCTTCTAGAAAATTTCTAGATTTAAACATTGTTTCTTAATTTCTACATTTTGTAAATTTTGATTCAAGATTATTATTTTAGAAATTCGAATGAGAATGGATCAAGTTAGAATAGTTCTTGTTGGATGCTAACAACAAAAGGATATATGAAGCATTGACTACTGAAAAACTTAGTGGTGCTTAGAACTATCTTATGATTGAGCTTTAAATTTTTGAAATTGAGATTGAGATTTGTTTTGAAGTTATTTAATTTTATTTAAATTTTAGGGCTTATGATTTATTAATACAAAGTCATGACAAGATGCTTCGTAACTTCATGACTTATCCTATAGGAAAGAGCTAAAAAGACCACCTCAAACCTAAGTTAAATGAACTCCAAGAATATGAGTGAGAAGATCAAACTTAATCTAAAGAGGCAAAAATTAGACTTACCGCCTTAATTCACTTCCATCAAAGAGTGAAATATGACGTGCCTCTTTTAGGCTTACGAACCACCCTAGAGAGGGCGCCAGCTAGCCTCACCTATGTTCCTAAAACATGGGGTTATTCAAGTACATGAGTGTATGGATAGGCTCGTTGATAAAATTAGAAAATTATGTCAGGACATACGACTCGACCCTGAAGATTGAACAACCTTCATACATCATGCACCAACTAATATTAACATTTCACTTGATTAAGTTTTTATTAAAGGTCAAAGGTGTACATTATTGTGCATGTATGCACGAATGAAAAACAACATTTAAGCCAATCAATTACAATTGATAGTCTTTCTCGAGAAGGATGGCAATTCTCACAGGTTAAATGTCACTTTATGTGTAATGAGTGAAATTTCAAAGACAAGGAATATGACGATAATATGTATGCAACTGGTTTGATTATTCATATAAATTCTAATTAAATTTATTATTTATTACCTGGGGTTTTGATATTAATTTTTATTTTTAGCTTCTTTAAAACTTCTCAATTTTACTGTTAGGTTAAGTAGATTATTTTCCCTAAAGAGTCTAACAACTAATATATCGGGCTATCCCAGACATACAAAACAAAGAAACCTAAGAAAAATATATACATTTGCAGTACAAAAGCAAAATGAACAAAGCAAACACACAAGCAAAAGACACAAGGAAAAGACTCACGTACCACTGAGTTTCGCCATACACTTCGAAAAAAGAGAAAAAGGGGCAATCCAACCCTGCCCATATAGAGCCTAATATATCTTATAACTAAGGATGTGTTTGTTGGATAGAGCTTCCTTACAGTAATATATGTGTGTATGTATGTATCCTTTTTCAATACAATTAATTACAGAATGAGATCTCATATGTCAGCAAAATTTAAGAAATAAAATGTCCATTCAACAATATATTGCCTGATTGCCTCCATACTTAATAATGTTGGAAATAATGTTTATTAATCTTTTTAGTTGTAGGCGGAAGGAGTTGGACATGGAATTATCTCTTTGAATTACATGTTAGGACCCATCAAAGGAAGAGTGGGGTTTTCTAAATTAACATGATATCTATAAGGGCACAAGCGAGTGTAATATCATTAATATCTTTTATATATGTTATATGTTGGTTGACATCTGTGAGTCAGTAGTAAGTCCCTTGAGTTCAGGGGTTTGAATCCCCCTATGACGACGGTTGCTTTATGGAGGGTGATACTTGATTTGTTAGGCACATTAAGAGTGGCTAGAGACTTGTATAATAGCCTCTAGCCATTTGTTTGAAAAAAAATTATTTCTATTCAATGTTGATATTTGGACACATGTTATTAAGAGACTAAAGAATGATCCATCGTATGGATCCGAACATCATGATAATATAAAATCTACATTACTGTTATATATAACAAGTAGCACTTAATCACAAACACAAGTCTTCACAAAATTAGATAGTGAGGTTTTGAGTTACTATTTTAACTATGAAACTCCACTGCCATATGGACGCTATGTAAGCAGGCAAAAATACTACCTATGTCAAAGATCTTTGATGATACCCAATAATGTAAGTAGGCGAAAATATTACGTATAGCAAAGATCTTTAATGATACCCAACCATGCATACCCTCTGTCATCGCCATTAAACATGCATGGAGATGCAAGAACTAAGGATGAGGGGGCAAGTTGAGGGAAAAAAGCTATATGAATAGTAGTAGGTGTGTATGTTTAAAAAGAATCAATAATATATATGTATTTATGATTATAAAACTTATTAATGAATTTATATTTGCTGGTGAATATTTATTTAATGACATGTGTTTATATCTTTTTAAAATGGATTAAAACTTTGTTAGTTTATGGTTAAACATATTTCATAGTCAACAAGTTTTATTTTTTGTGTAATTATTTTAAATATAATAGCTATACCATCAGTTATGACACATACTATTTTTATTTCTGTTGTAGATATTTTTGTGCATAAATATTAAACATAAGTAAAATTTATATATGTAGCACACAATTATTATGCATTTATGTATCACCTAAGCTTTGATTTTTACTTTTTGATAATTAAAATCTATCCATGAAAAGGTAGATTTCATTTTTAAGAAATGATAATAATACTATATTTGATGTGATACTACAAATACGAGTGTAATTAACGTCCGTAAATATGAAAGTTTAGGTGCAAGACATGTAAATACATTAGTATTGTGTGCTATGTCGTAGGTAATTACCCATGGCTGCTGCTACTTAAATTTATCCTACAAATTAAAAAAAAAAAAGGAGAACTTTTAAATCTAAGACTTGCATGAACTAAATCCAAATCAAACTACTAAAATATGCATGAATTATCTTCGAAACCAAACCCATCCAATCAGCTTCATTCAGATTTGATTTTCACATTTAACAAGACACTCTATCATCATCTACCATTCCATATCTAAATATCACGAATACATGGCGATTCATATACATACATATATATATATATATATAACTCCAAGCTACTGGATCTATTCACAAACACCGCGAAATCAAACCATAAAACCCATACCAATTTCCATACAAATCAATCACCAACTACTCTGCATCAAATCTCTCGCAATATCTCTCTTCCTCAAACACTCATGATGCGAAAGCTTTCCTGTTCCAAGACTTCTTGTCCTCATCATTCCAGTCGTATAGACCCGAATGCTGTTCCCCACAGAAGAGAGTCTTATGCGCTTAGCCGCTGGATTTAAGCCACGTGAGAGATGGCGACAGAGAGAGTTTCGGGGCATGTGAAGAATCCTAACCACGCAAGCTTCTTCCAGCTTGGGAATGGCGTGGAGCTGGGAAGGAAGATCTATGATGAATTCTCCGAACTCATCTGTTGTTCCATTCGCGTATCTTATTCTTCTCCTCCTCCTCTGTTCTGTCCTGCATGAAACAGCTACAGCGGCTCCTGCGTTTCATGCAACCAAAATAGTTAGATTGGATATGCAGGAAGAGCTTTAATTTCATTAATCTGTAATTAGGGCTGTAAATGAGCCGAGCTTGAGAGAGCTCAGGCTTGGCTCGTGTTCGGCTCGTTCGAAATTATTCGTGTTTGAAATTAGCTCATGTTCGAAACCTACTCGTGACCAGTGTATTCATGTTCGACTCGATTTAAATATTCGTGTTCATGTTCGGCTCGTAATTGACTCATTAAAATTAAACCAAAAAAAACAGATGTAAAGTGTTGGATTCAAACCTGGACTAAATATATGCAAAAGAAGATGCAGAACTACATTACCCCACAAACAGTTAAGTTCTAAACTTAGATATAAGTATATATATATAATGTATTATTATATAAATAACATAAGTAATATATTATTATATAAATAATTATATAAATCTTTTATTTCCAGCTAAAATGAGCTGAACACGAACGAACAAAGAGTTGTCTCTGTTCGGCCGTTTATAATTCGAGATTTAAGAATTTGTTCGTGTTCCACTCGTTTACCTAAAGAACGAGCCGAACACGAGCAACTTGGATATGTGATCATTTATACATAGCTTTTGCAATTGTTAATTAATATTTAAAAATAGAGTTTTTGGATTAGAATATATATTTGCATAACTCTAAGAGACATATTTTCTTCTTTTTAAGTGAATAATTTTGTGTCTATTTTCTATTTATATATAAATTTATTAATTTAAGTAATTTAATTGACTCTTAAATATATTTGAATAAATATTCCTTAATTTGGAAAAGCTTGAGGGTTGACATCTGCTGTAGCAAACATATTTCGTTCCTTGGAAGAAACCTAAATCAGTTGATCCTTCTAAACTTTCATTGAAAACGATCCAATACAACATCACCAAAGCTTTTACGTCAACATTAAATTATTATAAAAGGAAAATTTAAATTAAGAAGGCGTATTAAGTCAGCAATTAATCAAGTAAAAATACACTAATATTTTTAAACGTATATTTTCAGAAAATAATAATAATAAAGCCGAGCTAGATAGCTGGTTAAATTCTTAATAATTTCTCGTTAATTTTAACTATTGATTCTTCTAAGCCAAACTGATCTATTAGTAGTTTCATTATATGTATATATATATACATACTATTTAACCTATTTTAAATATATATGTATATATATATAATATTACCTCATCATGCATGTCATAGAGTCAAAATTGGCTAACATGAAAATTTGAATGAATATATAAATTTAGTATTGATAGTCTCATTTATATTTGATAAAATAGAAAGTAATTAAATTGATTATTTATAAGATTGTGAAAAATTTATCTCCTAATAATAATAGTAATAATTCTCACCTTGGACATGGGAAACGGTGAGCTCTGATCCAGCCGACAGGCAAGCTTCACATACAAGCGAGCCGGTGACAAGCACAGATGAGAGCCTCTCCTCTCCATATCCGGCGAGTCGAACCAGTTCAGCATCCGACAGCAGCTGCATGGGATTCTCCTCCGCCATGAAGGAAGAACAAGCAGGCATGAGAAAGAAGGGAAGAAGAAGGAGGAGAGGGAGGAGGAAAGTTAAGTTATTTAACATTGTTTTTTTCTTCTTTTTGAAGGGATTAAATGGATCAGAGGTTGAGAGATTATGTAAGAAAGAACCAAGGTTGAAGTGGGAGAGGAAGGAAGCTGCCGGGGGGAAATATATAAGCACATATTGGAAGTAGTAAAAATGCCCTTGAATTTCAATTTATTACATGTTTAACCTTTCTTCAGGTAAATTAAATAAAAAATATTTTGTTGCAGACATTTTCAATTTGTGTTGTCAGTTGATACGTGGGTGATTTTCTTAGGTGAGTGTAGGTTAGAAAATAGTTATTGTAGGTTGTGGTATTTTGGTTATCAGTATTATATTAATGCAACCATAATATATTATATAATCAATGGCAAGATTATTATTAATTTTGTGCCATGCATATCTTTTGTGTACATATTCATAGATAAATGTGTACAATAAAAAAGTATTTTTTATTGGATCTTCCATGATTCTAATGATTTAGAGCAGGGAACACACCGTCAGATGAGTCAATACGAGAATAGTTAAAAGTACCTGAAAGACGATCGAATGATATTAGACCAATCAATCAACTAATTAGAGGCTAGTTGATTAGGATGTTGACCACCTTTAGGATCACTTCGATAGAGGTTGAATGGCTGCAAGGCGACTCATCAGAGGCCCACTAACTGAATGCCACAAAGTTGGATGACCAGGAGTCAATTGGTTAGAGGAAAAATTATTGCATCAGGAGACCTGATGCAGTTTTGCATCAGGAATCCAATCAGGGTCTGCCACATGTACAGACAGACCCACCTTAGTTAAAAAAAAAGAATTTTTTTTTCCGATTAGAGTGGGTTCACGATTTAATTGAGATTTCACTATAATGCTAACGCTCTATAAATTGAAAAACCAAATCTATTTTAAAACTCATTAGTCCATTCGTTCCTTGATCTTTATCATACAATCAAAAGCGAGACACAATTATTTGAGAGAATATTACCATTAATCCTTTGAATTCAAAGAAAAGAACTAAAAAAAGAAAAGAAGAGCATAATTTGAAGCTTATTTTAACATATGTTTTAATTTCATGCATGACCACTTATGAAAATAGTTGGGATGTATCACTCCCAACTTCTCACAAGGTCTATTCATGCAAATAAAACGAGTCTGTCCTCAACAATTAGGGGATGAAAAAGTTCGAAGGCCAATACGAACCGTTCAAATTTTAGCCATACCAAATTTTCTTAATTATCAAATGATTTTAAAATCACTACTGAAAGTCTTTGCAGCACTAATAATTGCAATGATTTAAAATTAGTTGCAATAAAATTAAAATTTTTTTTGCTATTGTGATAGGTTGTATAATAAAATGCTGTAAAAAACTATTTTTTATTAATTAGGGTATATTAATTGTGTTTTTTTTCTTACTTCAAATTAATATCATTAAAGAGAAGAAAATAAATTTATTAATTGGTAATTTATATACTTCTACCATTACTTTCATGAAATTATATAGTTAATGAAACTTGGAATGAGGGTATCTATGTACTTTTCAAAGACTTGAGGTGTCCTTCATGAGCTCCTAACAAAGATGACGAAAACAGCCATTGTTTGGTAGCCTAACATCTCTCATAAACATATCTTCCATTCTCAATAAGAGCCATATACTGCCCAACCATAAAAGCTGCCGAGTGGCTTATTTTCTTAATTAAGTATTACATAACTAATTAATTACTCAAAAACCCTTTTTTTTTTTCAAATCTGCCCCCCAACCATATTTCATTCTAATGTTAGGACAACTCCCAATACTTACCAGATATTTCATAGAATATGTTATTTGTATTTTCATATTTGCTTGTGATGAAAGAAGCCTTCTGATGTAATTTTCATTTGGGTCAAGTGGTGGTTGACTATTTAAATGTTGAATATTTTATAATTGTTAATTTCCATTTTACCCTTGGCATGCAACTTGGATGTTAGGATCTAGTATGACTTTTGGTCAATTATCTAATTTGTTATTTTATCGGGCTGGGTAGGATATAATTAGGTGAATTGCCTGCTGAATTATAATATATATTCTTTTGGGTCATTTATATGCATACCACCCAATTCCTATGTATTTACATATGTAACAACTAAACTTTTAATTATTACATTTATACCACCCAAATCATCCATATTACGTAAATAATATCACTATTTTAACATTTAAAATGTGAAACCCTTTTCATGTATGGGCAAGGTAGTATGCGTGTAAAATTTGAAGTAAAGGTAGTAGATATGTAGACACAAAAGAATTAAGTGGTCTATATGCAAATCTTCCAATTTTTGTATTTTTTTGCCTTGAGGTACAATTATATAGCTGTGTAGTTTTGATCAAGGCAAAAACTTAAAGCACAAGATAAAAGACCAAAAATAATGAACATTAAGATTTGTGTGTGTGTGCGCGAGCACCGGGTGTAAGTGAGTTGGTGGCGGCTCTGCTTAAGTCCCCTCTCGACCCGGGTTCAAATCTTCAACCAGACGAGATTCAAATTTGCACATGGGGATTGGTTGAGGGATCCACCCTTCAGCCAATCCTTTTGATATATATATATATATATTATATATATATATGGATGGGCCAACAACAAATTTCCATCATCTGGAACGAATCTCAAGGTATTGCATGAATCTCAAGATAATTGTTTAACAAGGAATATTTAAACTTCGTTTAAAAATCATTCATAGCTTTGATTTCGGTGAACTTATAGGCAAACTGATGGGCTCAATGTGATGAACCCAATGATACCAAAACGGGTTTAATCCGAGTCAAATCAATCCCAAATAATAACTTTTGGAAGCTTTCATGCATAATTAGAAAGTCAAATGAATTTCAAATTTCAAAAATCTTATAACCAAATCGAGCATCTCGATGAAATGAATCAAACGAGCGTAAGATTACTGAACTAACTACTATCTCTAAGGCTAGCATCTCGAAATCGGAAATAACCAACATTAAGATGAGAAGTTGATTTACATTAGAAAATTTTATTTTCTGGTTGACTACATAGCTAGTTTATAAAGGGTGTACTATCTTATGGTTGGCATTGAGTGACCTCTACACAATTTCAAGTTTAAAAGACACAAGACAACTAACACTAAGAGTAGTTAAAGGTATGGTTGTTAACAATTCAATTTTGAGTCGAGTTGGGTTGATCTCGAATAGATTTAGTGCTGCTCGAAATCGGCTCGTTGGTTTGTTATATTTGATTTGGAGTTGAGCCAACTTAATCTGGTTGAAAATAAAAAAGAGTTGGCTCAAACTGATTTATTTGGATCTATTTCAGTTCGAAATCGGCTCAATCCAGCTCGAAACTGAAACTAACTTGATGAAATTGAGTACTTTCGGGGGATTAACGATCTTTGAGCTAAATTCATAGCCTTGGTTAAGGGTCCTTAGTAGATGAACAACATATGATTAATTAAGTTGCACTTATACCTAATTTTGAACATAAGTTTTAATATAGGCACAATGAACCCTAGTAAATGTAAACCCAATTTTTTTTTTAATTTTAAATAACTATCCTTCTCAAGATACAGCATGAAAGGATTTTAATATATTGAGTAGTGTGGGCTCATCCCAAAGAGCTCATGCACGATGATTCAACTACAATAATTGTCAAGATGTCTTTTTTCATCACCAATATCACTATTTTATTCATTATTTTGTTTTCTTTTCATAATGGCTTTCCAAAAATACAATAAAATATATAAATTAAATATGTACTTGAGCTATTACTAATAGTCGTTGCATGTTATACCAAATCAATTCAATAAAACTTGGCCAAACAAAAATGATGAGAGGACTCATCAAGAATATGTGAACTCGTTCAGAGTTGGCATCAAATCAATTAGAGAAACAAACATCACCTTTGATCGACAATAACTCACCATGACTAAAGAAGAACTCTCCACATTCTCATAAGAAGTCTTCAAAGGTTACACTTAACTCATCAAAAATCTCAATGGCTAAACCATACTTGAAGTTTATTCGCCCAATCTATAGGATCACTCGACCAACCTATAAGACCGCTCACCTAAATTAAAAGAATTACTGATCACCCATCATACAATTAGTTGCACAAGCTATAAGGTTACACATATGGTAGCCAAGTCTGCATGCCAACAAGAGTTATTTGGTTGTATGAGTCAAAGATCGAGATCTATCTAACAAAGGGAATGAATCAGTTCAAGTCTTGTCCAATTATCACCAAATGCCTCATTGGACCTGCAAAACTCTTCAGAAGGCCTAGGATCTCATCACCAAACATTTATCCAGCCTTCCGAATGGATCACTTGTTCAAAAAGACATACTTATTGTCAGATTACTGTGATTTATCATTTGCCCGACAATCTAGTTTTACCTTTGCACACGAGTTTCCCATCGAAGACTCAATAGTGGACAGTCAGATTGATACAACCGACCGATTGACTCACGCCCATTGAATGAAGTCCATACCACCAAAGAACCGATAGGGCCGACTGATCACCCCAACTTGACATAATCGGTAAAATTAACCCGATCGACTCAAGGATTACAGGTCGTCACCAACCGAACTAGGATAACTGAATCACAAGCTCATTAATCTTTTTAATATGAACTCTTTTTTTCTATTTTATTATTTATTTTTAAGTGTGATTTATAAGACAAGTCCTGACTCAACTTATCATAAATTATCCTGAATTCCACTCTCTCTATATTATATTTTAATGATAATAATACAAAAATACCTGACAGCATCATGCAAATCCTATGCATCATCACCTCAATCCGGACGTTCGACTCCTCCCACCATAAAACGTGGGGCCCACTCTCGCCAATGACTGCGTCACGTGCCTTGCCCAACCTGGACGGCTGCGATCGCACCCACCTGCCCACCACTTATCATAAAACGAGCGGTTTTTATTTCTCCACATGTCCAAAAACTGATGGATATCAGGATCTAAATGCTTGATCCAACGGACGCCAGTACCTTCTCTCCAACTCGCAAAGTCGCCTACGTTTCTTTTTCTTGTCTGTTTCCTCGAAGTCCTGCTCATCCATGGAGTCGAGCAGAGTTCTTGGAACTCTTTATTACCGAAATCGATCAATCTGATTGAAGCTATTGAGAAAGTTTTGTTTTTTTGGTTTTTATCCTTCTTTTCTCATGAAAAATCCTCTTTTTATTCTTCTTCTTCATCCCTGTATTCCGGAACTGAATCACCGTTTTCTCTAAAACTCCCCCGAAATAGGCTCTTCTTCTTTCCCGACCTGCGCTCGATTCAGCAGATAAAAAAAAAAAAATCAGTTTTTTGTTACGGATTTGGGAACCACAAAACAGGAAACCTTTCAAAACTCAAGATTTTGACTAAAAGAGGCGACCTTGCGTCAAAATGGCGGACTCCGATAACGAATCCGCCGGCAATAACAACAGCGGCGGAGCTACCAACAGCGATTTCTCATCCCCGAGAGAACAAGACCGCTTACTCCCAATCGCAAACGTAAGCCGGATAATGAAGAAAGCCCTTCCCGCAAACGCCAAGATCTCAAAAGACGCCAAGGAGACTGTACAGGAATGCGTTTCGGAGTTCATCAGCTTCATCACAGGCGAGGCTTCCGACAAGTGTCAGCGCGAGAAGCGCAAGACTATCAATGGCGATGATCTTCTCTGGGCCATGACCACCCTCGGCTTCGAAGACTACGCTGAACCCCTCAAGGTTTATTTGCAGAAGTTCAGAGAGCTGGAAGGCGATAAGGGCATTTCATCAGCTCAATCACAGCAGAAAGAGGAGTTCGCCGGAGGGGGGATGCTGATGATGGGGCGACAGATGTATGGGTCTACATACCATCCTCAGCACCATAATATGGGTGGGAAGGGAGGCGGATTGGGAAGCGGTGGTGGGAATTCTTCTGCTGGTGCTGGAATTGGAAGAGGCAAGGGAGGATATGATCTGTGTTAATTATTCTAATGTTTTTTGTTATTTGTTTCTGATCTGTTTATGATGGTATTTGCTTTCATGATGAAGAACTGAAATATGTATTTTGATATAATAGATTGGAGGAGAGTGCAAGATTATTTAAAAACTGGATGAATTTTGAATGGCAGCGACTCATGCATGTATTATATTGTATAATGCTGATCAGTGGATGTTACTTTGTTCAATCTGTTTAGACTAATTCTTCAGTTTTGGTGTGAGTGGAGCTTTTGGGCCGTGCTCATTGGAGCTATGTGAACTATGAAGGCAAGAAGATATAATTAATTCTGCCATGATTCAACATATCACATAGTGGATTAAGTTTCTGTTTGGTAAGCTTAGCTTTGTTCTATTTTCATTCATAACATCTAAATTTTTAATATTACATTAAAATTAATGTGCGCTAGCAAATTCGAGGCATTACGGTATATGAGTCATCATCTGGTACATGCTATCATAAAAATGAGTTATCGTCTAGAAATTTTTACGTGAAAAATCTAACAAAGAAAAAAACTACAGCATTTTTCTTCTTTTCACTTTATGAGCGTTATCGTTCCTGTGGTCTCCCAAAAGTGGCAAGAAGCACTTCCTTGCTAGAGGGATCTATCATAAGATTCAACACATTTTCTATGACATGACTTGAAAGTCTGTTGATTTAGATGAGGAGAGATGCAAATTAAATATGGAATGTCAGAGTTTTGTCATATTTATTTATAAGAATCAAAGACACATAAATCAAGGGATTAAAAGATACATGTTTTCTAATTTTTGCAGTTATAATTTTGCTTGCAAAAAGTAAGAAAATCTGTGATCAAGTGATGAACCGAGGAAGATTTAAATGTCCATAGAAAAGAGAGTAAAACAAAAAAGGGCCCATCAATAAAAAATTAGAAGTCCCACTCATCCGACCGAATGAAGCAAAATCAAAGCCAATCTAGTCACAAAGGCAAACGAATCCAAACTGTTTGGTCAAAAACGAGATGAAGACAAATTTAAGTCAACTACTACAAGAAAGTCAGTTGAATGTAGCAACCTACTTTCCGATAGATCCTACTCGCAGAATGATCCAGTTCTTCAATATCACCAAACATTCCATGGGCTCCTCCGAGACTTCTAATCAGGGATCAAGAATTAATAATGCAACAAAGAGTCTTATAGACATCCCTTAGGCTCTCCTTGTTGAGAAGCGAGCTATCTTTCGGGCCACGGTGATTCACCATTTACTCGATAGTCTAGCGTTGCTTTACCACAACGGGAAAACTGTAAATTAACATCAGAATTATTTTCAACGCAAAATTAACGACCGATTAACGTCTGTTAGGGTTGCCCCGTGATTTCACCTCTATACGAAAAGAAGCAAGCGAGTTGCATCGAGCAGAAGCTGTTAATACGACGCTAAAGCGGACGCAAGAGCCCTAAAATAAGTTTTTCACGAACCATAGCTCTATTATGTGCCATCCTCTCCTTCGGCTTCCTTTCATTGTTCCGTCCCCTCCTATGCCTCTCCGACAAAACCAGCTCCGATTCACCGCTCCAACTTCGTCCAAGGTGAGAAATCCTCTTCCACACCTCCAAGCTTTGGTTTAACATTGTTTTCATTTTTTTTCCCTTACATAGGTGTTAGATCCGAAAATACAAAGTTTTTTTTTTAATTCCATTGTTAGGTATGCAATGCAAATGGATTTTAAGGTTTTCGCTAAGTTTTGGTGTGAGATATGTAAATATATAAGAAATTTGTGCTATCTATGAAAATTTTGGTGTGAGATATGTAAATGCATAAGAAAATTGTGTAAGTATGAAATTTGGATGTTAGATATTAGATATGCGAACGCATAAGAAATATTGTGCTATGTATGTAAATATGAAATTTATGAGCGAGGTACGTAAATGCATAAGAAAATTGTGGTATGTAAGTAAATATGAAATTTTGGTGTGAGATATGTGAATTTATAAGAAAATTGTGGTATGTAATATGAAATTTAGGGGTGAGATGTGTGAATGCATAAGAAAATTGTGATATGTAAATATGAAATTTAGATGGGATGAATGTGAATGTATAAGAAATTTCATGATATGTGCGTAAATATGAAAATTTAGGAGTGAGATATGTAAATACAAAAGAATTTGTGTTATGTATGTAAATAGAAAAAAATAGGTGTGATGTGTAGGTGCACATCACACCTAAATTTGTGTTATATATGTACATAGAAAATTTCAAGTTGATTCTCTGGATTTGTAGGCTATTTATTTCGGGCATGATGAGAATTGGGAGCTAGATTTGTAAATGCATAAGAAAATTGTGGAATATATGTAAATATAAAATTTAGGTGTGAGAAATGAGAATTCATAAGAAAATTTTAATGTATGTAAATATGAAATTTAGAGGTGAGATATGTGAATGCATAAGAAAATTGTGGTTTGTAAATATGAAATTTAAGTGAGAGAAATGTGAATGTATAAGAAATTTCGTGCTATATATATATAAATATGAAAATTTAGGAGTGAAAAATGTAAATACATAAATATGAAAATTTAGGAGTGAAATATGTAAATACATAGGAAATTTGTGTTATGTATTTAGGGTTTAAAATTTAGGTGTCAGATATGTAAATACATAAGAAATTAGTGTTATGTACGTAAATAGAAAAAGTTAGGTGTGATGTGTAGGTGTGATGCACATCAAACCTAAATTTGAGTTATGTATGTACATAAAAAAATTTAGTTTGATTCTCTGGATTTGCAGGCTATGGGTTTTAAGGCATGATGTGTAGGTGAAGTTGGAACTACTTTCTAAAAATGTTGATTGCCGCATTAACAGTTGTATGTTATATTACAGAGAGAATATACAAGAGGCAAAATGCAGATTTTACAGTGTTGATATGTTCAAACCAAAGGGAAGAAAGAGTAAGAACTAGAAGAATATTCCTTACAAACGTTTATTTTATTTTCTTCTCATTCCATGACACCAATGACTGTTGGTTTCTAGGCACACAACTCTCCAAATGACATGACACGATACTGGATCTATTAATGCTAGTAAAATGACTCATTTCTCAGGTTGAGAAACTTGGAAACATTTCAACCACAATTATTTAGATTTTGCAGCTGAACCACACAACATTAGGCTTCGCTTTTGTGTATATGGGTTCATACTTACAAACATGCTGCAACACTCTATTCTTGTTGGCTAGGTTTTATCATGTCATATAATTTACTGTTTGTACACTCAAAAATAGTTTGCATAAATCTCAAACAATCTAACGACCAAGATAAAAAGATAGATGACTAAAATGTGCAAAAAACAGTTAAAAATTTAAAAAAAAAACCCATAAAAATTTGTAACTTCCCTATTAAAATGAGGATCATAGAAATGTATCATAAAAATATGTAACTCCTCTATTAAAACAGAGATTATAAAGATGAATCATAAATACCTATAACTCCCATATTAAAGTGAGACATTAATAAAAAGATGATAATAACATGAAACTCTCACATTAAAGTAGGGGAAACTATGTAATTTTTGACTTGGTCTCCCTTTCTCCTATTAATAGACAGCTAATAACATGTAAATACGGGGCTCTTCTCTCTTGACTTTTCTAATGTAGGGAGAACTCTCTCCCATTATCAATGTAACCATTATTTTTTAATATATAAAAGGGGTAAAGAGTAAGGGAACATACTAATTTTCCGATTAACGACAAGTCTATGTGTGTTATTTTATTTCTTTTTTATTCTTTGTATCTTTATTTTTCTGTCTCAAGTCCCGATTGCGCTGATCCTTTGGCATGCTTAACAAAACAAATTTGAATTCAACATCTTAAAATGTGTGGTAAACGTGGAGCATGCTACAAACAATAATGGAAACGACAACAATGAGAATATATACATATCAGAGACACTCCTAACAGGAGACGCATTAAGGAGTTCAGGCAACAATATATATGGAGTTGTAAAAACCTTTTTCGTCATCTTCCTAGGGGCTCTGGCTAGATGGCAAGTACCACAAGATGGATAGTCGGCTCTCAACGGTTGAAACAAGCCGACTGACCGTATGGACCACTCGGTCAATTCCCAGTGGCTGACACGTCATCTGGCGAAAAAGTGAGTGTTATTTCACAAGTTATCCTGCGTTGTGGCAAAAATTTTCTCAATGTTTTCCTAGGTACAACTGACACTTGGGGAACTCGGTTCCGAGTGAAGTTCGGGATGAGCAGACAAAATACTTTCTTTCAGAGTGAGCAAACAGAAAACTCCCCTCAGGGTCGAGCACACAAAACCCCCTCCGGTGCGAGTAAAAAGAAAGAATCCCCTCTACTGTGAGAAAAAAACGTCATTTTTTTGGACGAGCAAACAAATGACTCCCCTCCAGGATGAGTATACAAAAAACTCCTCTCCGAGGCAAGTAAGAAAAAAAACTCCCCTCGAGAGCAAGAAAAAAAACTCCCATTTGGGGTGAACAAACAATAAACTTCCCACTAGAGCGAGAAAAAAAAATTACCTACGAGGGCGAGCAAAAAATTTGACTCCCCTTCGAGGGCGAGCAAAAAAAAGAAACTTCGGGAAAGCAACTAATTATCCGACCAAGCACACGAGATGGGCAAAAATAGACTTGAGCTGGATGATATAATGACCGACAATTTCCCGAGGAGTTAACCAAATCAACGTATGTGAATACCTCAACTCAACGCCGACTAAAGAGTATATTTGGAGAAAAAATGTCGTGGAGCCAATGAGATAATGTAAAAGGTGCAAATGGAGCGCATAATGTGCCTAAATAGAGAGTATCATCAATGATTCATGTAATCATGTTTTTGCTTTAAACATTTTCCTGTCCTTATATCCACTGTCGCTGTCAAGGAGCAAAAAAAATCAGAAAACCAAAAACAGTTTGCACGAATCTCGAGATGATCTAATGGTTCAGATAAAAAGATAGATGACTGAGAGGTGCCAAAAATCGGTTAGGGATATGAACAATATCATAAAGATGTAACTTCTCTATTAACGTGTGGATCATATAAATGCACCATAAAAAACTGTAAATTTACTATTAAAGTGAAATTTATAAAAAAGACATCATAATGACCTGTAGCTCTCATATTAAAGTGGGGCATTAATAAAAAGATAATT